GAACATAACATAAGGCCAAATCAAACATTCTCACGCTATAAGATCTTGGTTACGTATAACCGTGATGCATACACTAAGCAACTACAATAATGATGTCAATCTCATGTAAAGGAAACCCTAGGCTAGCAGGCATCATGTAATCAGGCAATTTTATCATGCAATCCCTGAAGATCCCTAGCCTAGTACTAACATGTTGTTCTAATATATCTCATAATCAAATAACTTGTATAGTATTTTAGGGTCTACTTACTGGCTCCGGCTGATCGTACATCCTGCATCCTTCTTTACTTATTTTGACAACCTTTTTAAAGAAATTATTTTGAAAATCCTTTCCTTGATTTGAGACTGGAGTTAACGCATGTTCCTCCAATCACTCAAACCAAGGCTCTGATACCAACTTGTAACACCCAAAAATTCAACCAATTTAAACTTTTAAAAAACATTTAAACCATTAAAAATCATTACAACTTTGTTTTCAAAATGTATAATATCAGAGTTTTCCTAGAAACATAGACAAAACATGAGGAGCTGTACGATCACGCCTTCGCCTTGCCGCGATCCCCTGATGTACCTGAAACAATAAACTGAAACTGTAAGCCCGAGAGCTTAGTGAGTTCCCCCCAAAATACCGATACACATACAGTCCATATAAACATCATCACAAAAATGAAAAACATGTAATGGGTCCCCAACATTACAGACTGGATTACCCCTAAGCCCACAGTACGAGTCTCCCTTTAGCCCGTAACTGGAATGCTTCCGAGCCCACAGTACGAGTCTCCCTTTAGCCCGTAACTGGAATGCTCCCGAGCCCACAGTACGAGTCTCCCTTAGCCCGTAATGGAATGCTCCTAAGGTCTGTTGGCTACCGCACGGAGCAGTACAACCTCAACCCATCCCACATAACATATAACATACCACATAACCACTGAGCATGCAATAATCATATAACATCACAAGTAGTCCTACAGGTCTACCTAACTGACATAACTACTAGCATGCAACACTAACTTATACTCAACATCTAACACTGCTAGAATAACATATCCAATGGGCCGGCCTTGGTGCCTTAGACCCCTTAGTATAGTGAGGATAACTCACCTTGCAACTGTCGTCCGAAACTAGAAAGCTCAACTCCCGGATCACCAACACGAACTCCACCACCTATAGTTACCATAAAACCCTTTTTCATAAATCTCCAAATTACCAGAATACCCTCAGAAGTCAACTGGTCAACTCTTGGTCAAAGTCAAAGTCCACAGTCAAAGTCAACAGTCCATGTTGACTCGACTCGTTGAGTGCAGTTCACCGACTCGTCGAGTCCTTCCTGAACTCAAGAAGTCATGAAATCCTTGATTGGCTCGTCGAGTTCCCCTTTAACTCGACGAGTTCATACGTGTCCAAGAATTGGGAGAAACCCTAGCCGACTCGCCGAGTCTTCGAAGACTCGCCGAGTTCAAGGAAATCTTCAACGGACTCGCCGAGTTTGTTCATCAACTCGACGAGTTCACGACCATCTTCATATGACTCGCCGAGTTGACTATGCAACTCTCCGAGTCCTTGCAGACCTTCATCCATGCAGACACTTTTTTAAGCCATGCCAAGGTTCCAGATTACAGATCCAAGCTTCTAAGGCATGTTTAACACGTAAAGTTGCAAACTTTACATACATGCAAGGCCCTAAAGGCTCTAAATGACCAATCTAAGCTTCTAATGGAGCTTTACACCATAGGAGAGTCTCATCCTTGCAAAAGCTGGAAACTTTATGGACTTAGGACTCAAAAGATGTTCAGATCTGAAGTTTCAACTTCAGATCTAGCTCTCATACCAAAATCCCTTCATGAATAACTAAAGAAAGCCCTAGTTTTCACATATGAATGATTCTAGAAGAAAAAGAGGTTAATGTAACAGTTAGTTACTACCTCCAAACGTGCCCAAATGAAGTAGACTCTGGATCCACACGGAAATCTTGATGCTAGCCTCTTGATCTACAAGTTTCCTTCACAAAAGTCACTCCCCAAAGCTCCAAAACACTCTCCAAGCTCTCACTCACATCAATTAGGGTTTCTGGGTCTCAAGAGGGTGATAGAGGACAGTGAGAGGCGCTATTGGTCCAATATATAGGGTGCAAAAACCCTGAAAATTAGGGTTTCCACTGCCAGCTCCTACTCGTCGAGTCCCATGCCGACTCGACGAGTCACTCATTAATTGACGTGTCCTGGCCCACTGCTACTCGACGAGTCATAGCGCCAACTCGTCGAGTAGACCTTCAACGTGAAGTCTAAAAGGAAAAATATTAATAATACTTGACGGTTGGGATGTTACAAGAAGTATATTTCATTTGTGATTGAAATGTATTCAATATTGATTAGAGTTGTTTGTATCTTGGCTAAATAAATGAGAATGAACATATATTCGTGTTTATCTTTTTCTTTTAGATGTTGAAATGTTATATTCATTTGTGATTAAAACAATATCCATTTGTGAATAACAGTGCATATTCATTTGTGATTGTGAATAGAACTGTATTAAAATGGAATGAAGTTGTATTAGTTTTTGAAAAAAAATCATCATAAATAAAAGTGAACTCATTTGTGATTTGAGTTGTATTGATTTCCTTCTAAAGAAAAAGAAACGGGCATAAATTATTTTTGGGAAAAATAATAAAAAAAAATATTTATATATATTTCATTAACTAAAAAGAATTATTAATTTTTTTAGGTAATAAAAATCATTATCCCTATATTTTAGGAAATCATTAATTAATATTTATATGTTACAATTTAATATAAATATAAAGTTACTAATATACCTTTATAAAATGATTGGTCGAGAACTGTTCTCGCGTTGTCAACCTTGTAGGTGTTCTCATATATATATATATATATATATATATATATATATATATATATATATATATATATATGGTTTAGGGTTTCTACTTTCAAGGTTTAATGGATAAGATGATGATATCGATGATAATCAATAACATAAGGATTTTTTTAAAAAAAGTCCATTTTATGGTATTCGTATGTTCTTTTTTGTTTCATTCATCTTTATAGTTCCACGAGTCACGTACGTGTTGGTTCTATTCACATGATTCTCAATGTTATCAAGTTGTCCCCTTTATGCTCCACCAACACCAACATGCCCATGAAAACCTGATAAAGTTCCTTAATTTCAAGCGCGGTCTCGATCACATGTCCTTTTCCTTGCTTCTGAATCGTTTTATGTAGAAAAAGTCTCGCTTTGTCCTATTGAGATTAGGTTATAGAATGTAGCTTCATATAGTGATCATATAGTAACTTTTATGGATAATTTCTCTGATGTTCAACGACCATTTCCTAATGAAGTTCGTTGAATGATTTCATTGACGGCTGAAGTTGCTTATGAAGACCGTTGACGATTGAAGTTGCTTGCAAAGACAATTGTTTTGTAGAACTCCATGATGCTTTCCAACTTTGTTTAGTGTTGGAGAAAAATCCATTAGAGAGGGAGTAGGGGTCGAGCAAAACCTTTTTTTTTCAATTTTAAATCATTAAAAAAAGGAATTATGGTTTGGCTTATTTCACAAACATTTAACTTTCACTTTTTAATGGTGTTAGCCATAAAAACATTTGGTAAAAGATTTTAAGGTGCTGTTTGTTTTTCTGAAGTCAAAATGTGCAGTCTGCGGACCACATCTGCAAGCCTCTGCAGCAGAAGAGGTGGACCAAACGTCTGCAGTCTGCAATAAGAAGTCTGTTTGTTTTTTAACATCTGCAGACTGTTGAAATAAACTGAATTTTAAATTTTACAAACTTAAAATGTTTTCTCAACACCAAAATTTTAACAATAATAGTCGTACAACATTGGAAAAAAATTAATGCATACACAAATCTAATTTCAAAAGGTATTGTAGCAAAAATTAATTTAACAGCATGCATATTACACACATTTCAGCAAGAAAAAAAAAGAAAAAAAAACAGTATATAATGACTATTTTCAGCAACATTATGCAATTTCCAGCACTATTTTCATATTTTCAGCATTATGTTCATACTTTTATCATGAAAAAGTTTGATTTTCAGCGTATAATGACTATTTTCAGTTACATTATGCAATTTCCAACATTAATTTCATATTTCCAGCACTATTTTAATACTTTCACCAAGAAAAAAAATTTGATTTTCAGCAATGTTTATGGAAGTTCCAGCAAAATACATCAAGGAAACGCCATTTTCAGCAAGATTTAACAAGAATTTTAACCAACAAGAAACAATTTCAACATAATTTTGGGATTTCCAACATCCAACAAGAAATTTAACCAACAAGAAGCAATTTTCAGCAAAAATAGACAACGAATTTCACTAAATTAGATAGTTTTCCAGCAAGGTTAAGCAATAATTTCAAGTTAGAAGTGAAAAAAAAACGAAACAAAATGTGCAAGCCTGTTCGTCTTCAGTGGAGATCGGAGAAGAAGGCGTGGTGGTGGCGGCCGACGGTCGTGGTTTGCGATCGGAGAAGTCTGTGGCGGTTCTGATCGGTGAAAAAGAACGGCGTTTTGTTGCTGGAGCGAGGCTAGGCAGCGTCGAGGGGGAACCTTCGAGGGTGGGAAGTCGAAAGAAGATGGAGGCGCAGATAATAGAATAGAAGCGTGCTTTTTTAGGTTAAAAGTATTTTGCAGACCTTAGAAGTGGTTGGTCAATGTCTGTGTGGTGAAGACCTCGTGCAGACGTTTTTAGATCTGTGCACTTCAAAAAAACAAACGCACTGCGAGGATGTATGTCTGCGTGTGGTCTGCGTGACGCAGACAAAAGTGATTTCGCAGATCTGCAGAAAAAAAACAAACACCACCTAAAACTAAAGTGACCATCTCTATCAAAAAGAAATCTATCAAAACCTATAATGATAATTTTTGCCAACTATATTTGACCATTTATATAAAATTTTCTAAATTTTTTTGGAATGTAACAAACCCATGGTAAGGATTGTGAGCCAGCCGATCAAAAACACACAAAACACAAACAAAATGTTTGCGTTTAATTGGGTCGGACCCTCTTCACCTAAACATTCTATTCAAGGCCACCCTGGCCTCCCTATCACGCGCTCGCACGCAGACAAACACTCACTCCCACCCTCGCCTCTAACAGACACACACACACACACACTTAACTGTGAGCTCTTTCTGGAGATCCGGATTCATTTATTTCGATTCATTAAGGTATGTTGGTGTCATATTCAGTTACGAATTGAAATTTTGATGCTTGTAGATCTGAAATTCTGTAAAACAACTTCAGATTTTGTCGCGATCCAACTTCGTTGCTGAAATCTACGCCGTTTTATTTGTTAAACGTATACACCGTTCTCGATCTGATTAATTATGGATCTTCAGTGAGACTGATACTAGTTTTTCCTGAATAATCGGACGTTACTGTATTGTTGATTAGTTAATTCCTCGAAACCGATCAAATGTGTACTTAGAAATATCCTCGTGAATTCTATTTGATTTGTGTTACGAATGTTATCAAGTTCAGGGGTAGAATTGTGTCGTAATTGTTTCGGAAATACATATTATACTCCATACATGGATAAAACTTGCATTAATTTTCATTTTTGAGGAGTATCATATTCATATCAATGGTTAATGTTCAATGTTCACATTCTTTTGGGTGAAATTTTAAGGTTAAATCCTTATTCTTCCAACTTTTGGTACTTTTCAGAAGACCTATGTGACAAAACAAGAAAGCTAATGTGGAATCACGAAGATTTATCATCATCAGTGTGCAGAGAATAAAACAACACTGAGATTTATTTAACATGCCTCCATCAAGTAAGGCTGATAAGAAAGCAGCAATAGATGCTGCAGCATGGATGTTCAACATCGTGACTTCTGTTGGGATCATCATTGTAAACAAAGCATTAATGGCCACATATGGTTTCACTTTTGGTAATTCTCTCTTCCTTTCACTTCAATCTCTTGAAATTCCTTTATAACTAATTACATCTTTCTACTTTGTATGCAGCCACAACATTGACGGGATTGCATTTTGTGACGACCACCTTGATGACCCTTGTTCTTAGGTGGCTGGGCTACATCCAACCCTCACATCTTCCCACTTCAGAACTTTTGAAGTTTGTCCTGTTTGCTAACTTCTCCATTGTTGGAATGAACGTCAGTCTAATGTGGAACTCAGTAGGATTCTACCAGGTATGTAGTAGTAAACTAGTAATAATGTAAATAATGTACATAACACTCCATTCAAATTGGATGAATTCTGAATTCTGTGATTGATTTGTAAAATCCCAGATAGCAAAGCTGAGTATGATCCCAGTATCATGTTTATTTGAAGTAACATTTGACAAGATTCGATATTCACGAGACACAAAGCTGAGTATTTTGGTTGTTCTTCTTGGTGTTGCTGTCTGCACTGTTACAGACGTGAGTGTTAATGCTAAAGGTTTTGTTGCTGCTTTCATTGCAGTATGGACTACATCTCTCCAACAATACGTAATCTACTAATTCCCTCCTCTCTCTTCTTCACTTCATCTCTACCCAAAATTACAAATCAATTAACTTATGAATTTGTGAATGTATATAATACAGTATGTTCATTATCTTCAAAGGAAATACTCTTTAAGCTCTTTCAATCTGTTGGGACATACAGCACCTATCCAGGCTGGATCCCTTCTACTTGTGGGCCCGTTTCTTGATTACTGGTTAACAGAAAAGAGAGTCGACATGTTTAAATATGATCTTTCCTCTATGGTAAGTAAGAGTATATTTATACAATTGTAAATCAGTCATTGTTAACAGAATCATGGTTTGATTTGTGTAGGTTTTCTTGGTGTTATCTTGTACGATTGCAGTAGGGACGAATTTGAGTCAGTTTATCTGCATAGGGAGATTTACAGCAGTGTCGTTTCAGGTGCTAGGGCATATGAAAACGATACTTGTGTTGATTTTAGGGTTTATATTTTTTGGGAGAGAAGGGTTGAATGTTCATGTGGTGGTGGGGATGATTATAGCGATAGTGGGGATGATTTGGTATGGGAATGCATCGTCAAAACCTGGTGGGAAAGAGCGTCATGCACATTTGCTTCCTAAAACGAATCAGCATCAGAAATATGGGTCAACGGGAATATTGGAGAGTGAAGAAACAAGTGATAAGGTCTGATTATTGGATAGAATTAGAATATATGATAATTTTTAGTTAATACCCGGAATTTGTTTTGATTAACTTATTATTATTATCATATTCTTGGAAATCGTTTGCGTATATGTTTATATGGAGATCATTGTGATAGTTGGGAATCCGGACAGTTATACATGATTGTTTCTTTTTTATTTGGACAAAATTACTTGTCGGGTGGACCTAAAAACACCTGACCTAATGTATCTGAGACACTAATTATTTACCTATCTGCCATTCTTCTTTTTCGCTTCTAAGTACTAACTTCTTTAATGTTAAAATTGATAAATATCATGTAAAAGGGTAAGATTGCCTTTTAGTTTCACTTAGGTGTCGTTTGTTTTGGAAGTGGTTAAATGTCTTTTGTCTTTTTCCAAGTTTGCGGAAGAAGACGTGCACTTGCGAAATGTCTACCCGCCAGAAGGGAAAAGTGCTCAAAAAGTACTTTTGTAGAAAAACAAACGAGGCCTTAGACAGTTTGATAGAAGTAGAACCAAAGAAATGAGAGAGGGTAACAATGAAGGAAATAACAGAATCAGAAGTATTGTAGAATCTCAAAACACTTTACCGAAATATTAGTCCCTTATGGAGTGGACAATTCTCTAGTTACAAGAGTAAATAAGTAAATTCATTCCAAAAAGATGTTAGAAAAAAGGGTTCTAAACATCAATGCAACTTGGATAATTTCTAGGAAATATTTTTTGAAATCTGTAATTTGACCAAATTATTTGGGGTTAAGCAAGATTCAAACTTTGGATAATCCAAGAAAAGAAGAATATCGAATTTGGGCAAAATCGGAGATCAAAATACATAAATACCTGGTTTTGTTTGATGCTTTGTAGACAGAAATTTGGCAAGAGTAACAATATGTTTTTTTGTTATTTTTGGAGGGAAAAGTCGCAACTGTCCAACAATTAGAGGCACTGCGCCGGGACCCCTATGTTCCCAAATTCACATTAGCTTATATGAATGAGTTCAACTCACACCTCAATCTCGGGTTATAGCCAAAGCTTAACTTAGAATGTATCAAGTTAATCCCAACCATACTAAAATGATTGATGGCTAAATGTAAAAATTTTAATAAATCATTCTAGTATAACGGCAAACTCACACATTCCATACCCTATTCCTAAACTACTCATTTTGTCTTTAATGGTTGGCTATCACAATTCTTTCTAGATCTTAATGGTTAAAAAGGAAACCAACCCTTAACTTGCCAAGAAATCTTTCATATTTGCAAATCCTACAAGAAATTAAAACATAATACTTTCACCTATATAACAAAAAGTCCAAGATCAATTTGTCAAAAGTAAAAATAGATTACAAATCAAAATACCTCAACAACCAAAGGCGAGGTTGGTCTCTATTTATAAATAAACAATCACCTTTCAAGTCTATGAAAATAAATAAAGTTTGGGCATATATCATGTCATGGTACTATACAACCATCAACAATCCTTAGACAAAAATCGGGCATCCCAATTCCTTAGAAGCAGTCTCAAGATATTCAATTGGCATCCCAGTCGCCATCCGACTATGAGCTTCCCACGTCAAACACTTTGCCAGGTCAGCTTCCCAATCGATGACATCACCACTCATGTACGCAATATGTCTGCTACTACCTATATTAACTTGTTCACCACTTTGTTTCAATTTTATACAACCAACATTCAAAATGGCTCTAAGAACTGATACACTCAGGGTGCGTACATGAGCACTCGCATGAGATAAACACCTTACAGTAGCTGGCACTCGACACTGTCACCACAAAAAATCATTATATTTTTTAATAAAAATTTCATTTTTTATATTAAAGTTCAGTTTCGTTTCAGTTATTTACCTTGAGAAGATTCGAGAGGCCATCTGCAACTGCCAATCCAGATTCTCCACACTCTAACACCGGCTGAACTGCTCTAGCTGTTGCTTCCAGAAGCTGAAACAGAATAATAAACCAAAATTATATATATATATATATATATATATATATAGACAGACATATACAGAGATAGACAGACAGATAGACAGATATGGCACCTCAAGTTGTGGTAAAGTGCATGCTTCGCCATCAACAAGCATGCCATCAGTGGCACGTAGGAGGAAGTCTAAGGCAGTGGCGAGAATCACTAATGACTCGAGATTTTCATGATTTCTCATTAACTCCACAATCAGCTTCACAATCCGTTGATTGATTCTCCACATTTTTTGACCGACATCATCGTCCTTCGCGATCCATGGCTGCAATTCCCTCTCCGCCTGACAAGCAAATATACAAAACCAGGAAAGTGACTTAACCAATAAACAAATTATCAAATTTCACAAAATGCTTTTAAAAAAAAAGTTAAACAAAATCTGGACCTGAAGAACAACGGCAGTTGCAGCGGTTGTTGGCGATGCTGCCACCACATTACACAGTGCATCAACCACCTTATAAACAATCATCAATGATAAATTATTATAAGATATAGATTACAGAGTGAAGTATTTAAAAAAAAAAAAAAGATTAATAATTACCTGTCTCCATCCTTGCTGAGCGGATGTGCTTACTGCATTAAGTTGTGTTTCAGGTGACGCAATCATCTTATGCCACAACAACGAAACAACAGAAAAACATAATTCTTGTTTTTCTGTTAAAACCGATCTCAAAAGAACACGCGCACTACAATTAAACCCAATGTGTCTATCCATTGTGAGAAAGTTGGCTAACTCTGAAGCATTGAATGGGAAACTCATTATTCCTCCCTCCTCACATAACTTAGAAGCTTTCTTCACACTCGTTGAAACTGGATCATTAATCTGTGTGATACAAGAATTTTGTCTTTTACCATTAAAGCATGATGATGATGATGATGATACAGGAGGAGGATCCTTTATAGCTACATGTACAATATCCAGTGGTTCTGCTTTGTTCACTATCGATGCAACCGCTTTACTATGAATATCAATTAGATTATAAAGCGAAGATGCTGTAGAATGAATTTGTTTATCCCATTTGCACCGGATTAAAACCGAGAGAGCATGTGTGCAAGCTTTAGACCTTCTGAAAAGCTCGGATATATGAGCTGCCACCATAGCAGCAGCTACTATCTCATTTGAACTGTAACTCCAAGAAGTCCCGACAGAAGACGGTTTTAAAGAAAAAAGCGCCTCCAGAATCGCAAGTATACGTCGCGTATGACTCACCGCAGAATCAATACTACTCTGGAATCCATTTCCGATTCCATTCCCGTTCATGGATTTAACTTCGTGACTCGATTTTTCACCATCTTTAAGATTCGAACGGTTACTTGCTCGTGAAATCAACGGAAAAAGCTGAAGCTCGCACGCGAGCGCACAAACCGCAGCGAGAACATAGGAATCGAACGCCGCGACGGGTCCTTGTTTGTTTGTTCTTTTCCGAGACGATGATTCCGATTCCGATTCCGGTTCCGGGCCGGAATCGGAATGCTTCTTTCCGACATGAAGTTGCGCTTCGTGACTGACACAGACGGTTAATACAACGAAAAGTAATCGAGAAGATAACTCGACAGTGGCGCATGATTCTAGAAACAGAGAGTGGACCATCGTGCGAAGCTCGGCGACAGCTAGATTTTTGGAGGCAGAGCCGAAAATGAATCGTGTTTTTCTTGTTTGATGGGATGGTGACTCAGCGGGAAATGTTCTTTGGAGAATTGCTTCGACTGTTGCAACGAATATTTTCATGAGACATGCTTCTGATGGGCTTCCACGAGGGAGATATTCTAGAACTTTGAGGAGAGGAATGTAGAGGTTCCATGATAAGATAGGTGGTTGTAGAGGTGTTGCAACGATTATTTCCGGAAGATCGATTATTGAAGAACTTAAAGGAATTAATCCGTATGCAGCTTCCCATATTGTGCATATTCTCCATTCAACTTCGGGTCCATGTGCACATAGCATTGAAGCTATCCCTTGGGCTGTGGCTTCAATTGTTGCTTCAGCCACTGGCATTTGTCTCTGAAAGTATACAAATAGAAATTCAGTGACTATTTTGGAATGCCATATAAGAATTGATGAAAGTACTTGATATAATGATACCTGTTTTTTATGGCTAGAAATGTAACCACTAATCTGTTCATGTTGGACTTCACCACCTTCAACTTGTCTAAGAGGAGGAAAAAGCAAAGCCGGTTGAGATAGTATCCGGAAAAGCAAAGCAGCTGCTGAGTCAGCTGCAATCCCTGCTCTCATTGACATTGCAGTCCCAATTGCACGCAAGAAGTGCAAATGCATCCAGTTTCTAGGAAGCTACAATTGAAAAAAAAAATCATAAAATGGTAAAAACTAAAAGTTTGACTTTTGGGGTTTCAGGTCAACTTACCCGCATCCCGGATGCATAATCTTCAGCTGCCCTAAGAAGCTCGACTAGTTGAACAGCAGCATCAAGAGCATCTGGAGCCCATGAAGGTGGTGCTTCTAATAATCCAAGAAGAAGTCTTTGAGTAGCACTTGGACTAGCAATAGCATAGTACCTATGGAAGAGTCTTGCATAAGGCTCTAAAGCAGGAAGCCCTGCAACAAGATGCTCATCCATGGCTGTTGTTGGAGGAGGAAGTAATAAAGCAGGAACAGCAGCTGCAGTTAGAGTAGCAGTTTCATAACGAGCAACTTCCTCATCACATACACTTAAAATTACACCTGCTCCATTAGCAACAGCCCACCTTGGTGTAGATGGCATTAACTGTGGATGCTTTCCAGATCCACGTGAAGAAGACATTACTAAACACAAAATTTTACTACTGTGGTTAATTGTTATTATCCTTCTTTCAAAAGTTTTATAAAAAAAAAAACTTTTCCACTTACCAAGAGAAGGTGGCTTCAGTTCCCCTGCAGCGTATTTTCCCATAACACCCCCACACCTACATATGTTAAATAAGTAAGAAAAGGTTATAGTAATGAAAACACACACAAAAAAACAGTTTTTTTTTTTTTTTTTTTTAAATAAATTAAACAAGCACTTACCAACGAAAGTAGTCGCTTCTGATACCTAAAGGTGCAGCAAGCAATAAATCAGTGATCCAAGGAGACAGAGGCCTTAGTGGTTTCCTTTCATGGTGTCCAGATGGTGAAGAAGAAGAAGATTGAAGATCTGTAGGGTTACTTGTTGATGCTTGGCTACCACTGCTGCTTCTATCTGTTTCACCATGTGGGTGTTCAACTTTGAAAATTGGTCGATTGTAATGTGTTAATATTCGTAAAATCTCTCCACATGCTAATGCCCATTGTTCAGAATACTCATTCTGCATTTCAATTTTCAATTTTCAACAGCTGTATTATAAGTTGGAAGTATAACTAATCTGGTTATCTATCGAATACAAAGTGTAAGGGTTTCCTTACATCAGCACTTGGGCAGATTAATGAAATGAAAGAAGCAAATGGGGGAGTGCTTCTATCGTACTCAATCGTGCCATCAATGATGCATGAAATTATAGGATGAATAACAGAATGTCCATGCTCAGGGTGATGAAGTACAAACATTGCTGGAAATTGGAAAAAGTTCAGATTCATTACAAAATACGTCCTTACACAAAGTCAAAATAAGAAAATTTGAATATCCAAATTACCTAACACATCATCAAAGAGGCGTTTTTCAGTAGATGGATATCGATGGCGAATCAACTGCAAAATAAAATATCAGTCACTAGTGAGTAATTTAACTGATATCTATACATGTAACATGTGTGAGTGCATATTAAAAGAACTACCTCAGCAATATCTTCAGGAAATTGCTCTGATGTGAATTGACCCAAATAATCAACATATGCTGTGATTTGTGCCTGAATACAGAAGTAAATGAACAAATCAACTTAAAGAAAAATTTGCAGTGATGCATATCTTAATGGAAAGTCTGAATAATATGAATACCTTTCGTTGTTCTGGATCTGGTGGTGGGGGCCAAAACAGTGAAGAGAATTGTAGACCATCGATCCACCTTTCAGATGTAGCAACAGCCATGGGAATGGAGAAGCTTCTTTCTTTGGTTTTGTGGTGGAAAAGAAGAAGGTGAAAGCTGCAAGCTTCAATTTTCCAGCTGCTACCAATCAAGAATGAGAAGATTGTAATTCAACATTTTTTTATACACCAGCTGATGCTGTGATGCAGTGATGTCTCTTACTAAGCAGTTCAATTAACCACTCAAAATTGTTAACTCTAAAACAGATTTATTGCCTCTCTTAGTTCAGTTGCCCAGTTGAATAAGACTAATTTGTAGCCTGAAACCATGGGACAGGAACAACCAGTATCAGGTGAAGTAGGGTTTACTGTAAATTCAATGAGAAACATGAATGGACATCTAATATTGAAAAAGGTAAATAAATAACATGCAACAAAAAACTCAACACAACTGAAAGAATTTACTTCTATATTGCAAAACAAGCTAATTTTATTCTTATATAACAACATGATTATGTAAATCGATGATTAAGATGAGATGGAACAACAACACTTACAGCAATAGATGATAATCATAATAATAACAAACGTAGTAATGATAACATTGATAATCGAGAGGATGAAGGATTACAAAATAAAAACCGAAAATTACACAAGCCTAACACACGCAACATGTAGAAGAAAATGTGCCATAAATTGGAAAAATTGGTGAGTAAAATCTAAGAAAACTGCCGTGGAAACGTTTAAATTCGACTAAAAAGTCAAATCCAAATTCAAGTTTTTCTAATTCATTTATAAAAAATAATAATAAAATAAAAAAATCTTCACCACAATTTCATTGCAGTAGCCTGTATTTTACTAACATGGATAACACATCACGACCAAATTAGAACTCATCTCCATTAACGACGCAAAAATAGGAAAAAGAAACACACACACACACACCTTTCAGTGTAAGCTAAGTTGAGCTAATTAATAACTTCATATTAATATTGATAGAAAAGCAAACATAGTATCTATGTTAACAAATCTGAAGATTATTACACAAATTTGAACAAAAAAATACATAAAATTTCAATAAATAATATGTACCTGGTTTCTTAAGGTCGAAAACTAAAATAATCAGAGAGAGATGGATTTCGCTGGAAAAAGCTCCGGCGTTGTGATTTACAGCGACTGTAAAATTTTGAGACGATTTGGGATTTTAGAGGAGAAGACACAGAACAAAACAATGGGTTATGAAGAGCTGGAGAGAGAAATATTTTATAAAAAATAGTTTTTAGAGAGAGAAAATAATGGTTTTAGAGAGAGAAAGTAAAGGAGATCTTTAGCTGCGTTGTGTGTGAATTTAGGGATCTAACACAGCGAACGTGGCAACGATATTTTCCTCTCGCCTTAAGATAGCCACGTCGAGCTGGTCGCGTATGTTAGTATGCTATGAGTGTCCATCACCATACCATGATCCACATGCTCATGTATGATACATTAGCGAAATACCAAAAATGCCCTTTTGTCACGTGGCTATGGGGGGCTAAGGTTAGGTTTGGAGCATATTCGTAGTGGCTGGATTCTCAAAAGTGAAAGGGACTTGTTCTAAATTGAGTCATTTTCATTTTATTAACTGTTTTTAGATTTTAGATATTTTGTTTTTAAATTAATTTAATTCTAGACCTTGATATTTTGATCAACGACTTCTTTAATCCTTTGTCTCATATAAAATTATTTTTCTATTAAATTGTGTATCTATGGTGGTGAATTTAAAATAGAAACCACATGGTTCTCTAATTCATGATTGGGCCGATTCAAGAGAAAACCGAGTTTAATCTGGTCGGTTCAACCGGAAAATAACCGATCCATACACAAAAACCACCAAATTGTACCCAAACCACTAAACCAAAACTATACAAACCTTACCTTTACTTTCCCCTATCTTCTTCCTTCTACCGGTTATTGAGCACAAGTAGGATGCAGAACAATATATAAAGACTCACAAAGACCAACCATTTACACAAGTGGGACTTTATTCTAAGTGTAATTATTATATCCCCGCCATAGCAACTTGAGCATCAAACACCTCTTTATCCTTAAACATCTATCTGCAATTCTATTTCCTTGAACTTGAGATCAATTCGAACTGATCCACCTCCGTCATCCAATTCTGTTGTTCAGAGTATATTTCAGGTCTTACATTATGTATTTGTAGTTGTTGTTTTGCATTGGTTCGTCAATCCACTCAAAGAAATCACATCCCAATCCCTCTACCCACGTACAAAATTAGAATTTTAAGGGCTTCGGTATAAAAAAATTAAAATTCATTCAACATCGATACACTTATAAAAACTTAACATGTCATTAGGGTAATTATGAAACTTCCTAGTTAGATTGTCAATGGTCTAAGAAACTCTATCCACCATGAACTAGTTGGAGTTGTTGTTGTTGTTGTTTAAGTATTATGAGGAAGATGACAATTTGGTAATCAATGTTTCGGTTTCGGCCTTGATCGAATGAGGATTTATATAATAAGGGAATCAGGTCGAAGAGAGGGGGCCTATCTAGAGTTTCGGAAAACTTATAAATAAGCTTCAATCTTTGTCTTTTTACAGCTTGGAACTACCGTTGCCTTCATTTGTCGCCTTAATGCTTAGATGTACAACCTCGTTTAATTAACAACGGGTGGAAGCGGATAAATAGAGGTCATCCCTCTTTTAGCAGGTAAATAATAAGTTCATCAATTTATACAATAAAAAAGTTATAACAGACCTTTTAAAACCAAAGCAAAGATTATTTTGGACCAAAATGACATCATCTTTAAAAATAAATTATATAATTAATCATTTTGTTACTAAAACTAACCTATCATACTTTTAAATTAATTAAAATGACAAATCTAGCGTTAATGTATAAAATTAGAGAAAATGACAAAAATAGCCAAATATCCTAATCACTTTGCGGAAAATAACAAAAAAAAATCGAAATTGCAAAAATGGCCACAAAAATCGCAGATGGGAATGGTCCATCTGCGATTTGCACATTCCATATGCGGGTGTACAAGTGGCTAAAGCTTAAGTGTGCTTTAGCCACTTGTACATTCGCAGGTGGATTAATTTTTTAATTTTTTTTTTCTATATATATAGGTCGCAGATGGACACAGTCCATCTGCGATTTTCTCTGTATTCCATCTGCGATTTTACGTATTTTTTTTTAATTTTTTTTTTAATTTGACTATGAAATCAATTGGTTTGACTACGAAATAATGTTACTATATATAAACTTTTGTAGAAAATTATCAGTTTAGTTGTTATTTGTTTAGGAAATTTCTCTAAAATCTCTCTAAAAAAAATGATTGAATATTTGGTTTGTCTTGTAACCGGTGGGAGATGACAAGTTATTGAAACAAATCTGGAATAAGTATGTCCACATGGAGGTATTTCTGAATTCGCTTTGATATTTTCTGAGTATATTAGTTATAGTGATTTTGTATCTTTGGTGAGAAGCAAAATTGGTTTGTTAGACAAATATAGAATTAGTCTTCGTTTCCATCATCCTGAATTGAATTATTATATAGCTATAGTTGAAGACATGGATGTTAGAATGTTGATAAATGTAATCAAATGTAGTGGAGGAAGGGCTGTCAAAGTGTTTGTGGTGGTTGATGAAGGAGATGAGGTTAATGAGGTTGGTCACAGTGAAAATCAGCCGGTTGGTAATTTATGCAGCTATAAAGGGAGCAACGATCTGATAGGTACTTTCAATACTCCTAGTGTACCTCAGTTTCACAGTGTTGCTGAAAATGTTAATGTTAGTTATTCACCTATTAACTATGTGGATCCTGAGAATTACAAGTATGTTGGTGATGATGATGTTGGTACATATCTTAATGATGTGGGTGGTCGTTGTGATGATGTTGCCGACCAAGAAGTTAAAGTTATGAATAGGCGTGTAGTAGATAAAAGTAAAAAGAAAAAAAAATCGAGTCAAAAAAATGAAAAAAAAGCATGTTTACGGGGGGATTATGCTGATGTTGCTGATGTACGTTTAGATATAACCGACTTACAAAACAATTCAGATAGAGATGAGTTGGGTGATGAAGTTAAAGCTAAGTTTCCCGATAACCTTTTTTACGGTATGCCCCCTGTACCAGCATGCCCAGTTGATATTAATGAAGATATCCCAACACAGATGGTAGACATGAATCTTCGAAAGATTGAATGTGAGGGTATATTTAAGAACAAAGAACTTTTAAAGCGGTGTATTGGTAAAAAATGTCTTCGAGAAGGTTTTCAGACGAGGACAAGTAGATCCACCAAATCAAGGTATGAGGTTGTGTGTGTTTCGAAAAATTGTTCTTGGTTACTAAGAGCAAAATCAATTAAAAATTCTGATGGACTTTTCCAAGTGAATAAATTTGTTGATGTACACACATGTTCTTCAACAATTTTGCAACCTAATCATCGACAAACAAACAAATATGTTTTGGGTGAATATCTTGCTGATGTTTTGGCTGAAGATTATAGTAGAGTTTATCGGGGAAAAGCAAGGTTGTAGAAATCGCTCGACGTAGGCTAATCGGTGGACTGGGGTCAAGGGATTAATCGGCTAGGCGGGGATTAATCGGGGACCATTAATTATTAAAAAAAATATTAAAAAATTAAAAAAAATAGATCATTAATCCTAAGAATATAACATTAAATACAACATTAATAAATATAACATTATAAATTAAAAAAAATTATTAACAATTAAATAAATATATCATTAGTAACATGAAACTATGATTACAAAAAAAACCTTTTGATTCTTAATACATCACATCTAAATAACCAACTACTGCATTGTGAATGTTGAGGGAACAATAACATTTTAAGAAGCTTTCTTTCTTGGTCTCTCTCTTGGCTTCTTTGGTTGATTTGTCTCAAGATTTGTTTCTCGATTCCTTTTTGCTTTGATTCCTTTTTTCTTTGACTTTGAAGACTCTAATGAATGAGCAACAATAGCAAAGAACTAGATTGCAATTCAGATTTCAATTCAGATGGTATGAAATTTAGATTCGTGATTTCAATGGAGCACATTGTATGTAAAGAACTAGAATGCAAGTCAGATGGTATGCAATTCGGATTCTTGATTTCAATGGTATGCAAAGAAAGCAAATCCAACAGATTAATTAAGTTTTACTTTTGGTACATGATATATGTTTGAATGATGTAACATCAATTCATGTGGTGTGCAATTTAGATTTGTGTGAATGTTGTTGGACCATCAAAGCATTGCATGACCAAAATCGATGAAATTTCTCTTAAGCATTTACACAAACACTTGGCATGCTAGTTATCAAACAACCATATCAACCATATCACTGGAATTTCTCTTAAGCATTATATGACCAAAATCACTGAAATCATGATTCATAGTGATCAAACAACCATTTACACCAACATAGTAACAACATAATTCTGCCTTCAATCGAGTTTATGGATTTGTCTAAAACCTATTTTAACAGTGAATTAAGTGTATATGAAGAACAAACCTTCGTATAGATTGATGAACACTAAGCTTATTTTACCAATTTGAGTTAAGAGAGAATCGATTTTACCAACAAAAAACACCCTAGTAACTAATCTGAGTATAGATTGAAGAACAAACCTTCGTAGATTATAAGGACTGGGTCATAGGGCTTCCGGAGTCGTGGATGACGTCGGAGGAGAAGGGCAGCAACTTGAGTCGACAATGCGACAGCGAGGTTGGAGGGGGATGACAAACCAGAGCAAAAGGCGATAGCGTGAACGGAGGAAGAAGATTTCAACTTTTTGATGTTTTACTTCTTTTGTCGTTGAGTTGTGAGGGAATCGACTTTACCAATTACCACGTTCGATCTAGCAGAAAACGCAATCACAGATCGAGTGAGTTTGAATTGAATCGATGGAGTTGTGAACAAATAGACCATCATGTGCAAAGATGTATAGAATCGTTACAAGTTTGTCATCCCACATCGGTGGTGGAAAAATAAACAAAGGCACCCATATCTTATAAAAGGAGACTTAGGCTCCTTTAAAAAATCAAACCCAACTACTCGGTGTGCTAGCTGGTTCTTTCGAGCCTGGTTAGCTGGACCGATTTGGGCCAATTTTGAGTCCGAGTTGGACCGATTTAGTCCGATTTGGACCGATATTGACCAAGGCCGATTATTTTACCCTCTATCCCTTATTCGTAGGCGGATGGAGGCCGCCAAGCGTCTAGGCGCCGATTAATCGGCCGCCTAGACCGATTTTTACAACCATGGGGAAAAGATATTATTAATGATATGAATGCTCAATTGAATATCAATATCTCATACCATCAGGCATGGCGTGCGAAGCAATATGCATGGTTGTTGTTAAGGGGTACGAAAGAGGATTCTTTTACCAAACTTTCGGCTTATTGTCACAATTTGGTCAAACATAATCCAGGTACGGTGACACATATTAAAACAGATGGTGATGATCGCTTTGAGTTTTTGTACGTCGCACTTGGTTGCTCGGTTAGTATTATAAAATTTTATTAATTTTTTCGTTTTTATTTTGGTGTATTTGAATAGATATACAATGTATTGTAGGTACGCGCTTTTGTCAAATTTTGTAAACCGACCCTAGTAGTAGATGAAGCCCACCTAAAGGGCGAGTTCAAAGGTACCATGTTACTTGCAGTTACTAAGGACGGACAAAACCAAATATTACCGGTTGCATATGGCATATGCAAAAATGAGTGTACCGATTCTTGGACATGGTTTTTTCAAAAACTACGTGATTGCATAGGGAATATGCAGGAGCTTACAATTATATCTGATAGGTCTCCATCTATAGCAACATCCGTTGCCAACATTTTTCCTCACGCTCATCACGGAATATGTGGTGTCCATTTGTATTTCAACATAGTATCTAGATTCGGGAAGAGTAACACAGTTAAAGGAATTTTTTGGGAGGCTTGTAGGGCGTACACAGTTGATGCTTTTGACGTTGCCATGGATGTTA